CTCAAGCTATACCTGCCTTTATCACGCTGGATTTCCATACCCAGAAAGTATTTTAGCTCTCCCAGATTTGTAATATCCAAATGTTTCTTCAATTCCTTAAAAATCCGCGCAGTAACAGCTTCATCAGCGCATCCCAGAACGAGGTCGTCAACATACACTAGCAAATATGCTAACTGGATGAGCAGCATAGCTCATTACAACTTGCATTTGCCGCAGTTGGATGTATCTGTTGAAGAGGTGATGAAAGTTCTTTCATCTGTAGATCCTTCTAAAGGCCCTGGTCCAGACTGTTTGCCGCCATTGTTCATTAAGAAATTTTCTGCAACTCGCTTCACCTGTGTCGATTATCTTCAATCGTTAGCTAGTTAGTGGTGTTTTCCCCACAATGTGGAAGGTTGCGTCCATCACACCTATTTACAAATCTGGAAACATCCACAACGTTGAAAATTATCGCGGAATTTCGATTCTAAGCTGACTCCCAAAAGCTCTGGAGAAGATCGTATATGAGGTCGTATATCAAGCGGTTAGGCCAATAATTACCGAACATCAACACGGATTCGTGAGGAAACGCTCTACAACAACCAACTTAATGGTGTTTGTCAACTCGCTGATCAACTCCATTGAAAAACGACAACAAGTTGATGCGATCTACGTGGACTTCAGTAAGGCGTTCGATAGGGTTCCACATGTGCTTGCAGTGGACAAAATGAGGTGTATGGGATTACCTAATTGGGCCAAGAAGTGGCTACAGTCTTACTTAACTGACCGCTCAGCCTATGTGAGCATTAACGGTGTTAATTCGCCTAGTTTCGAGATACCTTCTGGTGTTCCCCAAGGTAGCAATTTGGGGCCTTTAATGTTCATCCTGTTCGTGAACGATCTGTGTAGTCGACTGTGTTCTTCGAAACTTATGTTCGCCGATGACTTAAAGATCTTTCGTACAATTAAGTCAAGACTTGACTGTTGCGCACTCCAGAAGGATATTGATTCCCTTTTGCGCTGGTGTACATTGAACGGTATGCAGGTTAATGTCACAAAATGCTGCGCAATATCTTTTAGCCGTTCACGCGAGCCCTTACGACATGACTATAGGATAGGACTCAGTAGTTTGCTCTTCGTTTCTTCAGTTAAAGATTTGGGTGTTATCATCGACTCTAAAGTCAGATTCAATGAGCACATCTCCATGATAACTGCTAAAGCATTCGCCACATTAGGTTTCTTGAAACGAAACACAAACGCATTCCAGGACATCTACGCGCTGAAATCACTATACTGTGCTCTCGTCCGCAGTCTTCTAGAGTATGCTGTTGTTGTGTGGGCACCCTTTCACGCTATTCAAGCTAACAGAATCGAAGCCATTCAGCGAAACTTCATAAGATGCGCTTTACGTGTTCTGCCCTGGAACGATTCGGTAAATTTGCCGCCTTACGAAGAACGGTGCAGGCTGATTGACCTGGACACGTTGGCAGCAAGGAGGAAACTACTTCAGCGACTCTTCGTGTTTGGATTGCTTAACGGTGACGTGGATTGCAACTCTCTTGTGAGCCAAATCTACATCAATGCTCCTCAAAGAGTTCTACGTAGTTACACGCTTCTGTGGCAACCTACCCATCGGACCAACTATGGATTCAACGAACCGTTGACTTTGTGGTGTCGTGTGTTTAATGAAACGTTTGATGTATATGATTTTAACATTAGTAAGTCTACCTACAGACATAGAATTCACCCTAGCCTAGAAAATATCTGTACAACATAATGTTGAAGATTTAATTAAATAAATAAACTTGCCGCCGAATGACTTCATGTATAGGCATGTATCAGCCGAACTTTTACGGAATCCCATTCGAATCAGAATGTCATGCAGTCGTCGATTCCAGCATCTGGCACTCTGTTTTAGGCCATAATTACTGCGCTTAAGACGACAAACTCGATTTTCCTTTCCTGCCTTCACGAACCCAGGAGGTTGACGCATGTAAAGCTCCTCCTGAAGTTCACCGTGCAGATATGCAGTTTTGACATCAAGATACATCAGAGGTATGTTATTCCTGCTCGCAATGGCAAGTAGGGCCCGAAATGAAGCTTGGCTGGTAACAGGTGCGAATACTTCCTCGAAGTCCACCCCATATTGCTGCGAAAAACCCTGTGCAACCAGGCGTGCCTTATACTTAATAATCTCTCCAGACGCATCGTACTTCAATTTGTACACCCATTTGCTGCCGATAGCTTTTCTACAAGCGGGCAAGTCTGTCAACTCCCATGTCCCGTTTACACCATGGCTTGACATCTCCTCCTTCATGCCTTTCTCCCAATCAGCAGCTCTCTGTTTGACTTTCTTGCTTCTTGTACGCTTCGTGGTTCTTCCATTGCCCAGCAAGCCGTATTAGCTTCCTCCACAAACCGCCTTGGCGGTATATCCTTGTTGTTCCTCGCATATCCTTGTAATAGTTCCGGAGAAAATCCTTCAAACAGCGATTCACTTAACGCAGCACCAAAGAACTCATTTTCTGAAGCACTGTCGTAACTCGTTTCCCCTTCATCTGGCCTCATTGTTTCATCCGGCTCTTCTTCAGTTTCCACTGCCGAATCTTCTTCAGTTTCCGCTTCAGAGTCTTCATCCTGATCCGTTTCCGGCGGTGCATTGTTGACAAGAGCCACTTCAACTTCCGTATTCTTCGGTTTACCCATTTCCCGCACCGCTGCGAATCCATCACGACTGATCAAAATTCTATCGGTGGTCGGTCGTGTTCAAAAATCGATAAGCTTTCCTGTTCTCCGTGTAGCCCACGAACTTCAGCTTCATAGCCTTCCTGTCCAGCTTGTTACGCTTCTCATCCGAAACATGTACCCAGGCATCCGATCCAAACACTCGCGTATGACTATATGTACATGGGCTGCTTACCGAACCACAACTCGTACGGAGTACAATCCAACTTGGCAGACGGTAGACGATTACAAATGTAACATGCTGTCATCACCGCCTCACCCCAGTATTGTCTACTCAGCTTTGCCTCCAGCAACAGACACCGTGTCATCTCCATCAGAGAACGGTTCGCCCTTTCCGCCTTGCCATTTTGTTGCGGACTATAAGGAGCCGTCTGCTGCAGCGTAATCCCATTTTCACTCGAGCAATTCTTCAACTTATTGCTTGAGTATTACGATAGTGAACTTACTGAAATCATCAATCATCGTCATCACATATTCGTTGCTGCTATGAGTTGGGACATCCATCGGCCACAAACGTCGGAATGCACGAGATCCAGAATCCTGTTGACCTCGAATTCGATATCGGAAACGATGCTCTCGACAGCTTTCACTCGCAGCAAACCCCACATCTTCTCACTGACGATCCTCTTAACTGCGTCCGGGTGGCGATGGCCCAAACAGCGATGTCATAGATGCTGACACATGTTCGAATGTCCAACCGCAGACAAGAGATACTGGTGGTTTGGGTGTTTTAAGGCGGTGAACGAGTAAAATTTAACTCCTGGTTAAATCGGACATTTCGAAAGTTATTCTCTATGTTAGGAAATCCCCGTGCTGTCGATCGACCCGTTTTCGAGCCACGGTTGTCAAAATTTAACTTCTTGTCTTTCTGAAATAACCATGCTCAGATAGCAGGGTTCATCGATTACTTTCCATAATGGTGGGGCCTTTTCCATCCAACCCACTACATCGAAAGGGGGTAAAAGCACAAACGAAGTGACAGACGGAGCGGCTCGAAAACTTTGGTGATTAACCTGCTATTTCAATTTTTCAGTGTACCACATGGCAACACTACTACTGGATTGTACTACCATTTTCACCAAATGTATTAGAATGTTTTGGTTCTATCTCTTTCACTCTACTCAAAACTGAAATGCATAAAAAAAATGACAAAATGATACACTCTTTGCACTGTCAAAGAATCATTGTACACAAAATCAACTTTGTTCAAATCAAAACAAAAAAACTAACCCATCTGGTGGATGATGGCACAAGCTTCCAAGAAAATTCTATTACAGTGAACTAGAGTCGGTGTATAATGAGTCACGCCAAGAGTGAAGCCAAGTCTACCTATTGAACTGTCAAACCGGCTACCTATCGTGCAAAGTAAACAAACATTACGATGCTATGAATCGTCCACGAAAGGTATTGCAATAAAATATAAAATAAAATTGAAGAAATGATCATAAACACGCAGTGAGCATTAAATTGTCATGGGATACGTTTGCTAATGATCAGTAATGAGAATTTCTACTATTGTTTGATAAGATAATTTGACAAAATCACTGATATAATGATTCACTACAGCCGCAATTTTTTGTTCTAGCTAGAAGTCATTTGAAGTTGATGTAGAAGTCCTCTGTTGCCAAGTGAAAAGAAAGGGAATCCTTCGAAAACCGTGATGCGAGTTCAACTGTTTTTCTCTTGCCGTGACTCATTATACACCGACTCTACAGTGAACCACATTATTTTAATGGATTTCTTCGCCAGTTAGTCGTCTGTCACTTCGTGTGTGGTAAAAGCCTTTGGTTGACATATATTTGCCCGGTGAAAATGGGGTCCCGTCAAATTTTATTTAATTTGGGCTAGGCTGGAAATCATTCAGCCATTGATGACCATTCGGTCTAATGGCCGGACACCATTTTTGAAGATAACTCGAAAGCATAAAAAATTCACATGAGACTGTTCTGCGAATAGTGGCAGGCGCGTGATGGAAGTCTTACGCGTTGGCCCTATGCAGAACCACTGGAGGATACATAAGTACATAGCTAACATGGGCCCACATATTGTTGATCCCGGACTTTGAACTAGAAAAAATGTCAAATCAAATCAGGGTAACGGTGTTCGGGGAAGCAACATTCAGGGTAATGTAGCACAACTACCCGACATAAATACGTATAGTGATGGATTGAAGGGACATGTCATCGGTCTATGTTATGCAACACAAACATATTTAAGTATAGGAAATTAAAAATATATTAAAATGTAAAACACAAAACCCAACCTTTCCGAATAAGAAAGCCATACATGCATACCCTTATCTCCTGTACCGGTATCGCTTGAAATGGAACCACAACTGAAAGATGTTGTTGTGGAACTGACAGCGGAATCCTCGCTTATAGCTGAACTCCCACTCCCGATTGACGATCTTGAAGGCAATGTCCTCATACGGTGGTCCAGCATGAAAGCGAAGCGTCGCGAAGTCGGGATTATCCGAGCACGGGGTCAAAAAGTACTGCGGAGTGGAATTCTTATTGATCAAATCCGGGTAGAAAATATTAAACTTGTAGCCTTGGACGATTTTCGGTGGCGGATTATCCATATCGTAGTGAGTTTGATTGTACTTGTTCCACTCGAAACCGGTGTGCACTCGATTGAAGTAGCGTGGCTTTCTCGGCCGGTACTTGTCGGACCAAAGGTAGACCTGGGAATCTACTCGCGATTCAACGGAGAATTCCGCTTCGTCATCGTTCATGCCCCGTTTGGCTTCCTTACGAAGCAAAACCTCATCCTTGGAGAACGTTTCATCCTCCTGGTTGATTCCGAGCACTTTCTGACGGAGAAGATCCAGCTCTTCATCGTCTTTTTCTTCGGAAACGATTCCTACTCCTTGTTCGAGGTCGTTCTGAGAAATGTATTTCGGTTCATAGCCCCCCTTCTTGTACAGCTCAAAACATTCATTAAGCAGATCATTTTCTTCGTTTACTTCGTCCGTAGCTTGCTCGGTACCTGATTGGCTACTGCTGTCTCTCGACGTTTCGTCCATAGCTTCCGGTTTTCGTGAACCGGAAGGACCAGACCCACTAGGCCCGGCCTCGGGATCGTCCTCTTCCTTCTTTACACTAGTTTCCTGCTCCTTCTTCAGCAATTCTAGTTTGTTCCGAAGGTTCTCCTGGTGTCGATCGCGTAATCTAGCCCTTGCCATATGGGCTTTTAACTGAGATAGCAAACTTTCCCAGTAACCGATATCTAGCCCATCTTGTTGGCTGTTAATTTTATCCTCTATCTTTTTCTTTAGCTCCTCCAGCTGAGCCGAACCTTTTCCCTTAAAGATCTGCGTAACATCTTTCGCTACGCTCTGATGGATTCCCTCTCTTCTACCGGTAGCCATCCTTTGCTTCTCAGCTTCAATTTTACGCAGCTTCTGCAATTCATCCTCAACAATGATAGTCAAATCACTCCAATAGTCTGCATTCTGCCCCTTCTCCAGCTCATTATAAACTTTGATATCCGCCAGCAAGTCCTCCAAGTCGTCTAAACTCAACCCGTTTAAATACGTATACGGCTCATGCATCTGCATTTCGATAGACTCCTCCAGATTTTGTTCCGAAATGTATTGAGCCAGTAAGTCAATCGGTTTTGCCCTGCCATCCTGGATACGAATCTTACTTCTCAGCTTGGCCTGGTCCAAGTGGAATGTTTCCTCCTGCCGTTGCCATTCCTCAAATTGTGCCACTTCCTTCGAACGTTGCATCAAATACATATCATCTTCACGTTGCTGCTGTTGGTGTTCCCGCTCCAGCCGCCGTTTTTTCAGCTTTTCCAACTCGATAACATTTTCCTGCTGCTTCTTGCGATTCAGCGCTTCCAGCTCTTTCCGGGAAAGATTTTTCAGTCCTTGCTTCTCTAGCTTTTTCTGCCACATAAATGTGGCAGACTTTTGATCCGAGTCGTCCCACATGACGGTGGACAACTGAGGATGTGAAATCAATGTTATTGATGGATTTTGTTCAATGTAAAGCCTAAAATTACACTTACAAAATTTTAGCAAAAAGCAGTCGCACTAAATTTATGTAGAAAACGTTTGACTCGACGATGACAGAAATCAAAACGTAAACAGCATATATGCTGTCAGTTTGATGCGTGTCCGAGGGACAAGCAAGTTGTAAAAATAATGCACATACGAGTGTTCCGTTGCGACATCTATGTTTGAAAATATTCGCGATCAGAAGTTACTCCTTGTTGTGGCGAACTTCTTGGAAGCGGATAGAAATTGCCTTATACCTTTTGGCAAATTTCTATTGCTAATTATTCATAAAATGTATAAGTCAACTAATAAGCAGACGCCTTGCAAAAAGTTAATGAATATCATGTGTCAAATGAAATGTAAAAGCGGTCACACATACCTTTTATGCATTCTTATACGACCGTATGGAATGTATAAGGCCTGTGCTCGAGGAAATTGCACCAGACAAAAGTGTTCACCAAAAATTTATTTTAAGTCGGATTGTCTTGAAACTTTCAGGGAATGAATCAATACATATGGATTATGTTTCGGCATAATTACTTTATTCAATTTCTGTTGTGCGAGCAACCGACAGGAAGAAGAAGATTTCCAATTCTCTAACATTTATTTCACGGGATGTTAAAAAATCGTTTACTGTTCTTCTAGTAATAAATCTGTCCGTACTCGCAACAATCCGTACTATTTATGTGTAGCTTTTGTCTTTTGTGTAGTTAGTAGTATAGTTTGTAAGTAGTTCATAAGTTTGCAAAACACCGCCCTAGTATTTAATCTAGATTTAAGTAGGAGTAATTAATTTTTAAACAAAGTTGTTCCTCTTTCACAAAAAAAAACATGGAAGTTGTTCACTCTTTTGCCCCACCAAGAAATAACTTCCACATCATCGCGTTTGACAACTGGAAACCACGGTCGGAGTTGGATTCTGGTGGCGAGGTTGTTGTGGTAGGAGAGGTGCGTCACAAGGCACAGGGTTGTGACACTCCCCCTCGGTACGCCGCTGTTGTTCGAGTGGCTTACCACCGTTTGCACCGACGTCTAGCACCGCAATCTTGGTCACTGGTCTCTCCAGAAGTCCGCTCGACGTCTGAACGGTCACGCGCCGAACCTGTCCGTCGGTTGCCTGAACTGCCTTGACCACGCGTCCTCGCGGCCAACAGTTTCTCGGAAGCTTGGAGTCAGCTATCAACGCCAGATCACCTTCCTGGATAGGTTTTACGGGTTGAAACCACTTTGTCTTGCGTGTCAACGTTGGTAAGTACTCGTCCATCCACTTCTTCCAGAAGTTGTCGGCGTATACCTGGGCCATCTTCCACGATCGCTTCAGCACAGTGGGACTGTCGTCGAAAATGATTGGGGGCTTACTCCCATCCGAAGAACCTAACAGAAAGTGGTTCGGTGTTAAGGGGGGGTCAGTGTCATTATCTAGAGGTATGTCAGTGAGCGGTCTTGTGTTCAATATCATCTCGATCTCCATTAATATGGAACGAAGAATTTCATCCGAAGGCAAACGCGGGGGGTCGAAATCGTTCATGGTCTTCTTGACAGACTGGATCAGGCGCTCCCAGCATCCACCAAAATGTGTAGCGGTCGGAGGGTTGAACGTCCACTTGGTGTTAGGACCGACGAACTCGACCATCAGTTTCTTCTCGTCGACGAGTTTCAGAGCTTCGCGCAGCTCCCTCGAGGCTCCGATGAAGTTCGTTCCTCGATCGCTAATCATCTCGAGCGGTGGACCCCTTCTAGCAATAAAATTGCGTAGCGCTAGGATGCAAGAGTCTGTCGTCAGCGAATGTGCTATTTCAATGTGCACGCCTCTGCTTGTCATAGAGGTGAGAAGTACTCCCCATCTTTTCTCGGTACGTCTGCCGACTAGTACTGGCATCGGCCCGAAATAGTCGACTCCGGTGTAAGAAAACGGTCGCTGGAATGGTGCCAACCGGGCAGCTGGGAGATTCCCCATTGCTGGAGGGCTGGGACTCGCTTGCCGAATTTTTTTTTTTTTTTTTTGCATTTAAATGATCTTTATTTTTTGTGATTGTGTGGTTTACATGTATGAATTTGTTAAGTGACACAGATTCGTCTTTTCAACTTTGGTACATTTGAGATTTTAATTATTATTTACAGTTCCTAGTCCTATCAGGCCTATTTTAAAGTATGACCACCTTGGTGGGATTGGTTTGATTTGAATTGGAAAAAGGAGACTACTTATAACTACTATTTACAACTACAACTAACCTACAACTACTATGTACACCTAACCTACTATATACAAATTGCTTATCAAAGCATGTTCTGATAAATTACATTTTTGTGTAAATTTAGTCTTAATTTCGTTAATTTTGGAATCTATTTTGGCAATGCCTGCCTCTTCATGTAAATTTGTTATTCTAGTGTCGAAAGGACGATCAAGAACCATCCTCAGCACTCTATTCTGAGCGACCTGAATTTTGTTCCTGTGAGTCTGTGCACATGATTCCCACACCGGAGCTGCGTAGAGGATCGCAGGTGCTATGATTTGTTTGTAGACGGCCAGTTTGTTCACCCTTGATAGGCGGGATCTGCGGCAAATCAGCGGATACAGACTCCTAACCAAGGGGGTGTGAAGTTGTTCGCCTCCCCGTGGTGCACCCTGGAAACGATGGACCACCAGTGCTGCGGTACTGATCCAGTCGGCTAATCGACCAACAAACGAGGGGAAGCGCCGGAAGGTGCCTTGCGATCGATGTCAGTAAGATCGCAAGTATGTATACTGACACACTGGCATTATGTAGGACACTGAGTGGAAACTTACCATAAACCACGCTACGGGCTGGCACTCAAGGTATTTCATTCTCTTAGTAGAGTCGGGTGGAACCGGCCGAAACGACGTTTGAGCTAATGCCTTGTTTGTCTCCGTCCCATAAAACCCTGGCAGGCCTTAGAATACGTTCCTCCCGTGCCACCCAGTTGGGGCTGCGGTGGGAATAGGTTCGGTTGAGTTATTCCCGTCTTACGCGATCCGGCTCTGAACATAACGCCCCATGAAGGCCTATGTCAACCCTCGTCATGGACCTCACTGCTCGCATAGGCACCCATGGGGATCAATCAGCGACTATTCCATTTGCACGGTAGGATAGCGGTCTAAGGGGGACCCAACAGTCGGGATGATTTCAAACAATCATCAACAAAACCAAAAACCCCAAACCCCAGTTGAACAAGTCGCCGAGGAGGCGACCGCGAACCCGTTCGCGAAGGGAGGTCTACCCAGATCTCCTGAACACAGAGAGCCGAACACACGGTCGAAATCTCCGCGCGATGCAGAGACAACGGCCGGGATCGGTGGACAGCCGGAAGAGCAGCCGAAGGACTGGCCCGGGCTAATCAGAACTATGAATAGCTTTGGGCCCCTCCCTAGGCTGCTGGCAATCGCGGGACAACTCGACGCCATAATAGAGTTCACGAGTACGAAGAGCAACATCGCGAAGGACCTAAAGCAGGCCTTGCGACAGCTCCGTGCAACCGTGAACGAGGCCCAGGACGACCACGAGCGGCTCAGGAAGCGACTAGAGGTCGCAGAGAGGGCGGAATAGAAGGAACCGAAGTCTACCCAGACGGACGCCTTCAACTTCGCGGGCAACAATACGATGTCCAGCGAGGCCCTCCACTTTGCCGTTACGCAGGGACAGAAGCGAAATCAGCCCTCACCTTCGCCAGTAAAGGGCGCAGCACGCCCTAAGAGACGGAAAGTCTCTGTGCAGGTGGAAAGTGCGGCGGTTGCCCATCAGTCCAATGCTTCAGTGGACGTACCGAAGAAGAGGGCTGGAATAGCCAATAGAAATACTGAGAAACCTAGCGGCTCCAAGGGCGGGAAGCAGGGCGGTAAGAAGGGTACCCCCCCGAAACCCCCGAAACCCCCGGACAAAACTGCCCCCAAGAGCAGTGCTGCCCGAACCAGGAACAAGGGCGAAGCTCTCATCTTCAAGACGGACGCGTCGAAATACGCGGAAGTCTTGAAGAAAATGAGAACGGACGAGCGCCTTGTGGAGATGGGCAGTAACGTGAGGAGCATCAGGCGCACTCGTACAGGCGAGATGCTCCTGGTGCTCAAACGTGGTGCTAAGGACCAGGGACCAACCTACCAGAAACTGGCAAAGGAGGTTGTTGGTTCTGGGGTGCAGGTGAAGTCGCTAGGCTCGACTATCACCATCCAGGTCAAGGACCTGGACGAAGTGACGGAGGCGACCGAGATAGTCACGGCGCTCCGGGAACAGTGCCAAGTCGAGGTACCGCAATCAGCGATTACCTTGAGGAAGGGACTGTTCTCCACCCAAGTGGCTACCATCAGGCTCTCTGCAGCTGAGGCCAGAAAGGCGGTAGCCGCAGGGAGGGTGCGAGTGGGCTGGTCGGTCTGCCCCGTCAGTATTCCCCGACCGGTGACGGCTTGCTTTAGGTGCTTCGGTCAGGGCCATGTGGCCCGTGACTGTAAGAACACCGACAGGAGCAAGCCATAAGGCGCGAGGTTGCCAAAAGCCGCCGAGGTGCACTATATGCGCGGAGAAGGGGAATACCCCTACCAACCACATGGCAGGTGGCCCCCGCTGCCCGGGGTCCAAGAGCAATGCTGCTAAGGCAAAGAGCAATGCTCAGCCATGTTCGAGGTAGCGCAGTTGAACCTGAACCACTGTTCGGCTGCCCAGCAACTGCTGTGGCAATCGGCAGTGGAATGGGGAGCGGATGTCGCAATCATCTCTGACCCGTACCGCGTCCCAACCGGCAACGGGAATTGGGTCACGGACGCGTCGGGGATGGCGGCGATATGCACGATGGGGAGCTTCCCCATTCAGGAGGTAGTCGTGTCCAACTCGAGCGAGGGATTCGTGATCGCCAGGGTTAACGGAGTATACTTAAGTAGCTGCTATGCTCCGCCCAGGTGGTCTATCGAGCAATTCTCGCAGATGGTGGA